TTATGTTACAAAGCCAAGATGATCAGAGATTGCAGAGATAATTGCACTGTGTCAAAACTTTTTGAACGCCCCACGTATAACCAACCTACATACAAGTTATTTAATAAAAACACGATTAAAATGGCTATAATACAGTTCTTGATTTCTATCTTTATTGATCCACTATCGACAATTAATACTCTGTTAACACTAACCCTACCTTATTATTATGTACTTTTTTTATTATTTCATAACACTTATCTCAGCACATTTAGCGTGCGTATGCTTATTTAACGATACATGCAACTAGTACCTGTTGAAAGGCATTGGGATTAAATCATTTAATTTAATGACCATTCTCTTACCTTTTTTTTTAAACACTCAATATTGTTGTTTCTTGGTGTTTGGAAAGTGTAAACCCAATAGCAACTTAATATTAATAGCATACTATGTGTAAACACCAGACCCGACTGAAAAGCATTGCTCAATTCTCCCGACAAAGTATTCAGTTCACTTAATTAAATAATTTCCGTTCGTGGATATACGCTCTCAAATATTTGATAAATAAAGCCAAAAACCAGACTTCGTTAGATTGTAAATACGGAATTAAGGATCCAAGTATTGAAAAGATTTCCGTTGTCATAATGCTGAGCCTTGTTTAATCCACTTGTACTCGTTTTCCACAACTTCAACAATATCATTTAATTACCACGCTCGTGTGCGTTTTCTAGTGTTCAGATTATTGGTTTGATATCTTCTTCTTTCAAATGACAAATGTTATATCACACAACCAGGGAGATCTCATTTTTCAATATTAGATGGGGAAGATATGGTGAGTTTTAATTGTTCTGTCAAATATTAGATTGTTTGAATTCTGTTTTAAATTATTGGCTGCGTTTCTCTGGATGTTTCAAAACTTTGAACAGCAACAGATACAGATATGGTTCATTATCATCACCTTCGGAGGTCAATATCTAAACTGTTCATCTCACTCTAGTTGTTCAAATAGCGGTGAATATGATGACAAGCAGTGAGCACAGCATACACCAAATGTTGCTTTGGTTACCACTTCAAGCTGTTGTTCAATGGTGGTCATAGCGTGGTAAGGATGTGCGCGTTGTGATCTAATAATACCGAGCAATGACATGACTGTTAGATTTTTTACACAATAATTTTTCTGAAACTCATGTTTTTCAATAAAACAATTATATCCAACGGTTTTTGTAAATAAAAAGCAGTTTTACACAGTGAGCTTTTTTGGCCTTCCTGAACATAATTTCGGTTTATAGTTTAATGGAAAGCTAATATTTGACAATTATACAAAGCGGATATGTCATGAAGCCAAGATATATTATGAATTCAAGCAAAATCTAGATAGGAGAATAATGAGGGAAAGTTGCAAGACTTCTAAAACAGGACATCATTAATCTATCACTTGAATATATCAACAACTTACCCATAAATAAAACAAAATATATTACGCAATTGAGAAAATTCTATCCAAGGTAGAATGAACGATTCACTATCATTATGTAATGTTCTCACATTTGTTCCAGCCTCTTCGTCACTAACTTTGCAGTCGACTGTAACAGCCGGTTATAATGCTTATTTATTTCTGGCTGAAACATAGTGACGTGGGCATCAATCTCATCGCGAGATTGATTGCTGATAGCAATGAGGTACGGTGGAATTGGTTTGGGCGGCAATGTGATAAATGTGCGCGATGGTGTGTCGGCTGAAGGAATCTGGACAATTAAGACGAAAGTTAGAATAAACGTATTGCAAAAAAAAACGAGTTGAATTAAAAAATCTGAAACTGTCATTTACCATTGTGTAAAAACAACGAAATACGATTTCATTTGAACGTTCTAATATACCATCAACTCTGTTATCAATGTCCCGATTAGCATTTCATCCTTATATAAAATTTCAAAATCCGGACGATAATTATTCAATTTTACCGTCTCTGACATTCATCTGCGTCTGCAAGTACAGACACATATTCCAAATGATCTCCAACCCACTTCCAAGTTTCGCTCAATTTCTCTCTATTCGAATAAGCAGCGTATCCGCCAACAGCAACCGCCGCAGTTGTCGCCAGTGTTCCCCACAAGCCAAAGGATTTATTTTTAGAAGTTCCTGCTTCGCTTGTGACGGTTTTGGATGTGACGGTTTTGGATGTGGTCTCGGACGATCTTGACTTGGACGTATTCGTAGATGATCTGGTAAAGACAGAGGAAATAGTCGAATAGGTTGCCAAAGCGTCTCTTGTCGCCGTTTGTACGCGATTAACGGCTATAAGATATGGAACATAAAGTATATGAGCTTGTTAGATCAAAGTTGCGATATATGTACCAAGAATTGCCCGTTATAAATAGATTCAATTACGCGGACCCATACCGGACGTATGAACGTTCTTGTGAACACCAAAAAAGGGAGTATCGTAAGCAAATAATCCAATAAACCTGACTGGGCAATTCATCGTATCCGTATATGCTAGTATTGCTTCTGCACTCACTATCCCACCCATTGAGTGACCAAGCAGACATACGACGACTTCAGTGTCGTATGTTTGATGCTCAGCTACCCTCTCCTCCAGCCATTCACAGAGAGTTCGAACGGCTTGGTTCAAGTCACCACGTGTCTCATAGCGTGGGTAGACTATTGACTTGGAATTTGGAATAAGGTTCTCAAGGTCTTCTGGAAAGTTCTTTTTAAATAAGAAAGGTGAGGGTATTATTCGAGAGTATTGATGTCCGGTACAAAGGTTGTTGCATTACCAGTCGTAAATAGTAGAAACGCTATTCATTAATGCATAACTGGATTTGCTTTGATGTGATTACCTTGAAGGTTTTGTCACTTCCCCTAAAGCCATGTATGAAAATAAGGAGAGGCTTGTAAAAGTTGGTCATTTTATGTTCGATTAGGGCCTCACATCCCTTTATATCGGAAAAGCAGGATTGCATTAATATTAACGGTTGTCACAAAAATTTGGCGGTCCCGTGACTTACAACGTTAAAAAATATTCTCTTAATATCGATATTAATATTGATATTAAGAGCAATTTATTCAAACCGCCATTGTCATTGATGCTTTACTGATGTCATTTTCAATAAAATTACAATGATAGGCAATGAATATGCATGCATGACACGGAACATTTCCCGGCAAGTAGTTAATCACGTATCAAGGCACAGACTTTGCGACCAGATATACAGCAAGCTGTCTTTAATTCCCGAATCATAATCCTCAAACAGATTGTCTTACTTCCTTGTCTACAAGCATTATCGAAACCTTTAATATTGGATCATTGACTAATGTTCATCCGCACCGCACCCTCTTTCCAGTGCTTTGTCAAAATTAATGTATCGTCATTTTTGTAGCTGCGAAGCTAACACTATGAACAACAAGTTTCACACCAGATAGAAACGTGCATATCTCTTAGCTACATGTATTCTGTAGTGAGGATAGCCGCGCCCGACTTCACTTGTAAATGTCAAGCTTATAGGCACAGAATTCTCGATATGGTCATGTCTCGATCATCCAATTTAAATTGACCAAATTGTCCCATGATTTGTAAAAAGATCATTCTGAGGACGTGTCTTTTAAGTAATGACTGAAAAGTTTGCCTAAAAATTAAAGCCCGGTTTTCTCCCTTCAATTTGCCTTTGAAAAAATCTCTATAACATACTAAATTAGGGTTGTGGACATGGAACACAGACGAGTTTGGTTACT